TCCATCATGTACAGGTATTAGCTGAAAGATGCCAAGGGGAAAGAATGCTTACATGGTGGGTGGGCATAAATCTGTTCTGGCTAGATCTACACATTAGCTTTTCTTTTCTAATGCTCTGAACGGCTTTGAGTTAAACACACCAGTGATAATTTGAGACGAATACACTCCCAAGGCTCTCCTAGGCTGGCTCTCATTTCCCCATGATACAGATGACATTCAACTTCTACACAAACAAAGGCTACTGTCTTTTCCTATGTATAAGACAATTTGTTGTTGTTGTTGGTTAGCCGTTAAGTCGTGTCCGACTCTTCATGACCCCATGGACCAGAGCATGCCAGGCCTTCCTGTCTTCCACTGCCTCCCAGAGTTGGGTCAAAGTATAAGACAATACTTTTGTCTAAAATCTTTAGACTAAAAATTGAGGCTCATCTTATACACAAATCGACTGAAAAGAGAGATAAGAGTAAGCTTAATCCTAAAAGGACAGAAAGTGACACTCCCAATATGGCTGGGGAAGAAATGAAGAAATCTAAAAGGGGATCTAAACATTGTATTGGATTGAAATAGAAAACATTTGTTTTGCAAACGGATTGCTGGATCTCTCTACTCCCTTCTGTTCCTCCTGGGATGAAGAAACTGGGATAGCGAGTCCTAATGAAGGACCGTGCCTGGCAGGCTGTGCCTCTCCAGTTTTAAAGCATCACATGCAGTAGCATAAAAGGGAGAACTGGCAGAGCGGCTGATCTGAGCTGTTTAACAGGGATGTGGGGTGGTGGTGGTGAGGGGGCTCTGAAGTCTGCCCACTGCGCTGAGATTTAAAAAAGAAACGGTAGACAGAGTTGCTCCTCAAGAAGCCCCGCTAGTGCCAGGAAATGAAGCCATTGGTCAAAGATGTGGGAGCAGATGAGATGCACCATATGAAGGACGGCAGCCCAGTCAGGTTCATTCCCCAGCCTTGGGAGCAGATGAGATGCACCATATGAAGAACGGCAGCCCAGTCAGGTTCATTCCCCAGCCACGTTCAGGTAGCCTCACTTGTTTGTCCTTGCAATCAGCGGGCGCTGGGCAGGCAGGGAACACAGGACAGGACAAGACATTAAACAATGGGTCCATGTGCCTCAAGGAGGAAATGCTACCTGCCAGTCTTGCTGGTTGTTTGGCACCAAGCACATTTACATGAGATGAGATCCCCAAGTGCCAGTTCAAGGTCAAAGGAAGGGAGGCAGGCAAACTAAACAGAGGCTGCCGTAGATGGAACTCAAGTTACGCCAGAAATAGCAACACAACACAGGCAAACCAGGAAGAAGCTTAGCCTGATGGAGACGTTTGATGTTGCCAGATTTTTTTTTTAAAGGTTGCTGGTTAGAAGTGAGAGCAAATGAGAAATCAAACAGTGCCTGCATTTGCTATCCGTAAACAATCAAAACATTTTTGTGGCTTAGCTAAAAGGGATGAAATGCTCAATGCTCTCCTCATCCCCAGAAATGCCGAACACTGGGGCACTCCACGTGAAGGAGTCAGCCGCCCAAACAGCAGCTAGAGTCGCACTGGGTTCCAAGGTGCCTGGAGTTTGTGTGTGCGCATGTGCATGCATGCTGTACAGAGGGCTACTAGAATGATAGACAGCTCTTCTTTTCTTATTCAAAGCCTTTGATAAATATACTTTAAAAAACAAACCAACTGGAAAATATGAAATCACTTTTCAAGGGGTTGACAAACGAAGCTTTTCTTAAAAATAGGATTTAAGAGCCACTATTTTGTTTTCAAAGAAACAGCGGATATGAAGAATCTCATTTGGTTTTTATAAAGGCTTTACTCCCTCTCAAGGAAAAAAAAATTTACAAAACAAAACCAGCCTACATCAACTCTCCAGGAGAGAGATTTGACAGTATTAATCCAAATATCAAGCTATTTAATTCTCCAATAAAACATTGGAAAAAAAAGTGCCTACAATCTCTTTCTAACACTTTTGCTACATATAAAATCTCCAGCTAATAGTAATCTTATGGTACCAACCCTCTAGAACAGTTAAGATATATACACTTTGGGGGGTAGGGGGATATTAACAAACAGAATATTACAAAGTATTAAAGAAGGCAACTCTTCTGTTGTGTGATTTTCGTTACTTGAAGTTGGCGTAGTCTGAAAAGGCGTCAATATATTCCTGAACCACCTTGTAGCAGAATTCATACTGTTCCTAGGGATTAGGCAGAAAAGAAAATGCCACATTAGTGTCAGAAAAAACTTGTTATTCCTGAAACACAACAGAGTGCAGTGTAAAAACCTGCCCCAGTATAGGAAGCAGCTATACCACTGATGCCTCCAACCTAGTACAGTCTACACTCAAAATGACAGCAGCTCTTGAAGTTTTCAGATGGGTGAATTTCTCAGTTGTGTATGAAGACATCCAGCCTGGGTTTAGGTTGTATATTATCAGGAAACACTCCCCAACTGTTAGAGCAGTATGACAATGGAACCAATGACTTCAGGAGGTGGTGAGTGCTCCAATGCTGGAGGCATGGAAGAGAAACTTGGACAGCCATCTGTTAGATCTGTTTTGATTTGGATTCCTGCTTTGAGCTGGGGGTTGGACTTGATGGCCTTGGAGGCCCCTTTGAACTCCAATATTCTTTGATCTGAAACAGTTTAATGCAGCAGCACTATGAATACTACCCAGCCCTGCATGATGGAAGTGTTTCTGGTTTACAATGCAACCAACCTCTCTATTCCCTGCAAAACCATGTCCTTGCATCCTGCTTCCCTTTCCTAGTTTCAAGAAGGGGGCATGAAATGACAGCAGAGATGAGACTAGGAGCTATGACAGGAGGAAGGAACAGCTAAAGATGGGAAATATACTGTACTGTGGCATGCAACTCTCCTCCACTCCTCTCGTAGAAGTCAGGGCTTACCAGTGTTTGGACCATATGCGGCCTTTGTAACCTCAAGCTCTTCACTGTCTGAAAGACATCCAGAATCCCTTCAGCCTTGACCCTTTCCAGGACAGTGCCCAATGCACAAAAGGTCCCTGTTCGTCCTGCTCCAGCACTGGGAAGGAAAAATAGACAAAGGAAAGGAATGGTGAACAAAGTCCTTCTAAATGTCTGAATTGTTCCACCTAAGGACAGAACAGCAGCTGCTCTGTGGGTTTACATGCTCTCTCCTGCACTAAACTTTCAAGATCAGTCAGTGACAATTATGCTCTGTTTCAGGGTGAAACATGATGTCTTGTTGCTTTTAAATATGTTGTTAGTATTGCTCTTACATACCATTTTTAATAATTTCTTTAATTCTTTTAAAATACTTGTGTACTTATTGTTTTCCGCTTTTAAATGCTGTCTTTTTAATAATGTAATCTGCCTTGGGTCTTTTTTAAGGAGAAAGGTAGAGTAAAAACTTTCAAAGTTCATAAATACATATGCACCAACCAGTGGTATCTTCATGCAAAATACTGTATGCTAGTCAAGTGGCTGTAGTATAATGAATCCTGCTAATTCTTGCTTTTCTGGAAATGCAAATGCTGTGATCCAGTAACTCAGGTAAAATGCACTGTGTATACAGTTGGTCTGATTCCGAAAAACGCAGGAGATTGAACATTATACATTGCACTATCTCTGCCTCTCCCTAATGGCCAGTTCTGGTACATACACCCTGGATATTTATACATATAAATAGGTATTTCTGGGGTTTTTCATTTAGCATTTTCAGCCAGTGGATAAGTGAAACAGCAGATACCAATCCTGCAGATCAGGGTGTGTGTCTCCTGCTGTGGTCTGTTTGATTACCTGCAGTGTACAGTGATGGGATGGTTTCCAGACTGCTGTTGCTGCTTCTGCACAGCGGCGATTATGTTAATCATTCCTTTTCCATCGGTGGGGATGCCCACCTCCGGCCAGCCGTGGAAGTGGAACTGTCGGATCTGTCGGCTTTTGTTTTCCTGGTCAAGAAATACAGAGTAACATACAGAAAAGACTTTGTGTGAATTGGGGGAGACTCTGGGAAGCACGCTGTCGTAGAACTCAAGAAAATCAACAGGTAGGCTGTCAGCAGCTGTTTCCCCCGATTCGCCTTCCCTATCTGTATTCTGCCCTGGGTTGTCTCCAGGTAAGTAATATAGCTGGGATGCTGCGAACAGGCAGTGATGAACTACAGGAGACATCAGAAGGAAAACCATGGAAAGTTGTTTAACATTAGAAGGAGGGATAGAGCAAGAAAGGTGCATCTCTACCAGGTCCAGATACTCTTACTACGGATGGAGCCATCAAAGGAACTGATGGGAGGGAAAGCCCCTACGTACTAGAGAGGATAAGCCAGGATGGCAGGAAGGAGCAGGAGGGAAGAAAACATTGCAGCGTTATAGCAGGCGAAAACTGATGGTTTGGCACCAAGCACATTTACATGAGATCTGACCCCCAAGTGCCAGTTCAAGGTCAAAGGAAGGGAGGCAGGCAAACTAAACAGAGGCTGCCGTAGATGGAACTCAAGTTACGCCACAAATAGCAACACAACACAGGCAAACCAGGAAGAAGCTTAGCCTGATGGAGACGTTTGATGTTGCCAGATTTTTTTTTTAAAGGTTGCTGGTTAGAAGTGAGAGCAAATGAGAAATCAAACAGTGCCTGCATTTGCTATCCGTAAACAATCAAAACATTTTTGTGGCTTAGCTAAAAGGGATGAAATGCTCAATGCTCTCCTCATCCCCAGAAATGCCGAACACTGGGGCACTCCACGTGAAGGAGTCAGCCGCCCAAACAGCAGCTAGAGTCGCACTGGGTTCCAAGGTGCCTGGAGTTTGTGTGTGCGCATATGCATGCATGCTGTACAGAGGGCTACTAGAATGATAGACAGCTCTTCTTTTCTTATTCAAAGCCTTTGATAAATATACTTTAAAAAACAAACCAACTGGAAAATATGAAATCACTTTTCAAGGGGTTGACAAACGAAGCTTTTCTTAAAAATAGGATTTAAGAGCCACTATTTTGTTTTCAAAGAAACAGCGGATATGAAGAATCTCATTTGGTTTTTATAAAGGCTTTACTCCCTCTCAAGGAAAAAAAAATTTACAAAACAAAACCAGCCTACATCAACTCTCCAGGAGAGAGATTTGACAGTATTAATCCAAATATCAAGCTATTTAATTCTCCAATAAAACATTGGAAAAAAAAGTGCCTACAATCTCTTTCTAACACTTTTGCTACATATAAAATCTCCAGCTAATAGTAATCTTATGGTACCAACCCTCTAGAACAGTTAAGATATATACACTTTGGGGGGTAGGGGGATATTAACAAACAGAATATTACAAAGTATTAAAGAAGGCAACTCTTCTGTTGTGTGATTTTCGTTACTTGAAGTTGGCGTAGTCTGAAAAGGCGTCAATATATTCCTGAACCACCTTGTAGCAGAATTCATACTGTTCCTAGGGATTAGGCAGAAAAGAAAATGCCACATTAGTGTCAGAAAAAACTTGTTATTCCTGAAACACAACAGAGTGCAGTGTAAAAACCTGCCCCAGTATAGGAAGCAGCTATACCACTGATGCCTCCAACCTAGTACAGTCTACACTCAAAATGACAGCAGCTCTTGAAGTTTTCAGATGGGTGAATTTCTCAGTTGTGTATGAAGACATCCAGCCTGGGTTTAGGTTGTATATTATCAGGAAACACTCCCCAACTGTTAGAGCAGTATGACAATGGAACCAATGACTTCAGGAGGTGGTGAGTGCTCCAATGCTGGAGGCATGGAAGAGAAACTTGGACAGCCATCTGTTAGATCTGTTTTGATTTGGATTCCTGCTTTGAGCTGGGGGTTGGACTTGATGGCCTTGGAGGCCCCTTCGAACTCCATTATTCTTTGATCTGAAACAGTTTTAATGCAGCAGCACTATGAATACTACCCAGCCCTGCACGATGGAAGTGTTTCTGGTTTACAATGCAACCAACCTCTCTATTCCCTGCAAAACCATGTCCTTCCATCCTGCTTCCCTTTCCTAGTTTCAAGAAGGGGGCATGAAATGACAGCAGAGATGAGACTAGGAGCTATGACAGGAGGAAGGAACAGCTAAAGATGGGAAATATACTGTACTGTGGCATGCAACTCTCCTCCACTCCTCTCGTAGAAGTCAGGGCTTACCAGTGTTTGGACCATATGCGGCCTTTGTAACCTCAAGCTCTTCACTGTCTGAAAGACATCCAGAATCCCTTCAGCCTTGACCCTTTCCAGGACAGTGCCCAATGCACAAAAGGTCCCTGTTCGTCCTGCTCCAGCACTGGGAAGGAAAAATAGACAAAGGAAAGGAATGGTGAACAAAGTCCTTCTAAATGTCTGAATTGTTCCACCTAAGGACAGAACAGCAGCTGCTCTGTGGGTTTACATGCTCTCTCCTGCACTAAACTTTCAAGATCAGTCAGTGACAATTATGCTCTGTTTCAGGGTGAAACATGA